CCCCAAAACCCCAAAACCCCAAAACCCCTTTTTAGGTTTAAGCTTTTGAGCAGATTGTTTTTTGATACTAAAAATGGAGTGGAAGAATCGAATAAGAAAGATTATTATTAAGCCTAAGTAGCCAGGAATGATACTAAATTCCTCCTCAAAGCATATTTATCTTGAACCAAATATCCTTGAACCATTCAACGCTGAATGCTTTCTACAAACCTTCTCACAAACAAAGAATAACTCATAATTTGTTAGAAAATTAAAGCTCATCTTTAGGACTTAATTTCATTGTGTTTCTATTCTTCTGAATTGAGCTTCGATAATAATGAGTTCCTTTTCCTCAATTCCTTTGTGGCTGAGTGATCTGGTTGACCCCTGTTCAGACGAGGGTATATTTTTGATAATTTTGTGTGCACAGAAAATCTTAGGTTATACTGTTTTTCTTGGCTTTGTTCGAGATTTTTGTTAGTACTCTTCATTGAACTTCTTAAGGAGCTCTTTGGTGCTAAATTGGTAATGATGTATGTACCTTCGATGAGATACTCTGAGTTAATAGGAGTCTTTCTGGCGCTTGATCCTTGCTCTTCTTTTGATGGATTGCTTTGATACTCTTCTGCTACCTCAGTGTATATCTGATTTCCCCTAAAATTTTATTTCAAGAGCCATACCTAATCTGAGTCTTCCTAGATTTTCTTTGTAAAATAGCAGCGTAATCTTTCTTGAGACTATCAATATATTTTCCAAGCTCAGCTTCCAATCTCTTCTTGCATTTAGAAGTTTTCTTGTTCATTAATTTATAGATTTTGTGAAGTGACTTTGAACTTGCTAGCTGGTTAAAACTCTCTTTATCAGCCTTCAGGCACATCTTTTCTTCAGAGTTCAGGATTCCGACACGAGGATTATGTTTAAAATGGTCCAATAGAAAGTTCAGACACTCAGACTCATTTTTGAAGCGGATAGCTTGAGAAGGTGTTGCATCTTTCACTGAGACTGGAGAACTTGTAACATAGTTCGTCTTCACCAAGATCTGAGAAGTTTTGACGCTGGTCATACCCATGCTGTTTCCACTGAGCCTGAACTCGTCCACTTTCTTCTTCATTTTAAAATCATTATTAATGGGTTGTATCTTCAAGCTCTTTTCAGGTGTCTTGCCAATGATCGGATGCTTCTTCGAGAATTCTGCAAGTTCTTTGAGAATGCCCAGATTTTTATTAATCTTTCCTTTCTTGGTCTTGCCTGCTTTCAAAGATCGTTGAGTACTGAAACAAATCTCTTGTGTAGATCGAGGGGTGCTCATATCTTGATCGGTTTTCTCAGATTTCGTATTCAGCCAGCAATCTATTCTTCTTGGGACCTTTTTAAGATACTCGAGGCTCTGAAAATGACCATTTGTTGAAGCCTTGTTTTGATCCATATAGCCTTTGGAAGTATCTACTATTTCTTTTGTGCTAGCTTGCTCTTTCTGGATCCTGCTGCTCAACTTTAGTGCTGTAGCGGTTGTATAAATGCCAAAATTATTAGTGCCAGGAACCTCTCCTCCATCTGAGTTTTTATCAGACAGGACAAGTTTGTTAATCCGGTTCTTTTCCTCCCTAATAGACTTTGCAGGATCGTATTTGAGGTTTGATTTTCTTTTCAAGAAATTAGTCTTTTTATGCTTAAGGACTTCAGATTGCCTTTTTATCGAGATTTTAGCAGGCTCTTCGTTCGGTTTGCTGAAGGTTGAAGAGAAGTCAAAGGCAACTGTCATTCCAGATTTTCCTATTGATTAAAAGTGAGAAGATTTTGATTAAAAAATTTCAGAGATCTTAAGCATTAAATTTAGATGGAATATTTGATTCATTATTTTGGCAATAATTCATAGTAAATCAACCTAACTTCTGGTTTCACTAAGCCTATCTATATCAGTCACTATCAAATTCATTTGATGCTAAGTTCTAACTTCTTCTACAAGGAGATCCCAAAATATGCAAAGACTAAGACCTCTTGCAACATAAGCTATTAAAAATTAAAATAATCTCAAACTCTTCGACTCACAAGATTGCGGATGATCCCATTGAGAATGGTCAGAAGGAGAGACATCAAGGCGTTGCTCTTTAAGGAGCTTATTCCTTTCCCTCATCCTTTGCACTCTCTCTTGCTTCTCTTGTAGAGACTTGGATTTAATAAATGTCTTCCACCAGGACGGATTACTAAGAGATTTATGGACAGCTTCAATGTAATCGTGCTTGGCCTTTTTGATAAACCTCTGCTGGGAAGGATCAGAGTCATAAAAATCTCATAGATCCTTTATGTTCATTCTATAGTTCATGACTTCATTTGTGTTGAGCAACTTCCTCGTCTTCCAACCAAGAAGATATGCCTTCGCTAGATATTTAGCCCGAAGGAATGAAGAGCCTGAGAGCTGGGTGATTGACATCACTGGAGATCTTGATAAAGTCCTGCGATTCAAGAAGATCTTAAAGACTTTCTGTAAGAAAAGAATACAAGCGAACTTCTTTCCTTTAAAGTTTTTCGAGAGTTTTGATCGAAGTATTTTCTTTTCCCTCTGTTGTTTCTTTTCCTTCATATTCTGGGAGATCTTCTGAGAAAGAAGCTTAAGATCCTAAGTTTTAACACTAATAATTACCTTAATGAGCTTTTTCTTTTTGAGCTTCATGAGTTTTTGTGATAAATAAAGAAGCTTCTTCTGTTTAAGCTCTGTGTCTGCTTCATAAGATCCATTGCTTTGACTAAGCCTCTGGGTAAAACTTCCACCCATTCTAGACATGGTGTTGTTGACTCGCATTGGCGGAAAATAATTTTTAGACACTATTCCTTGGAGTCTGGAACCCACAGGACCTTTCTCCGCGCTATTCAGGTTTACTTGGATCAAGTTTGCTGAAGTCAACTTGAAATGGCTCTGTTTTTGCTTCAAACTATTCCTCGGAGCATTAAATATGTTCTCGAAACTGTTATGCAGCTTGTTTGTTATGGATCCTCTATTTACTATTCTGTCGTTAACTCTGGAAAGAGATCTTTTATCCACATTTTCATCAGCTACGTCATCACACTGGGAGAGATCTTGCAGTTTGTCAAGTCTTTGGTTCCTCATGGTGAAATTGGCATGAGGGTTATTTGAAAAATGATGCTCTTGTCTCCTATTTAGATTTTAGTTTGAGAAGAGTAGCTTAAATACTGCACTTTAATTTAAAATTTGGAGTTTTTGATAAATTAAAAATGATCAAAATTGATTTTATGAACCATTATTCTCAGAAAAAGTTCAGAGTCGTCTAGTATTCTTAATACTTATATAAAAGTGTCTAAAATACCTCAAAAAAGAAGCGATTTACAAAAACTTTAAAATTTAGTTGTGGAAAAGGAATATATTGGTCAGAACCCCCAACATGCTTTGCCTTTAAAATCTCACAAAAATGTCTCTCATTAACAAGCATACTACTCCTAAGCCCAGTCCCATCCCTATTCCACAACACAGCTAACCCTAACCCTCTATTCTCGTACCATGAAGTATTTGGATAATTCTGAACTGCTTTAGGCGTCTTCTGGGTAAGAAAGCTAGCTTTTGTTCTGTTACTTTTAATAGTAGCGACGAAAGATCCAGGCAGGTGCTTTACTCGAGGGTTGTGGCGAGGGGTTTTCAGAGTGGATTTTGGGATGTGAGAGGAATTCTTGTTAAGGTCTTGCACAATTTTGAGGTTTCTCTTAGCTTCTTCAAGGTGAGGGCTTCTAGATGGGGGGTGAGAGGGTTGGAGGTACCTTTTGCGCATGCGGAGTGTGGTGATGGTGTTGAGAGAAGGCTGGGCTGTATGTGTGTGAGAGGGATTTGGTTTTTTGTATCTTTTTCTTTTCTCTATCATGATATTGTTCTGTTCTTTCTATGTAAAACATTTTTTAAAGTTAAATTAATGAAAGCAATACAGATTAAGGTTAACTCTTGACTCTAAATGGCAACAACTGTGCCTTGCTTTTAAATCATTATCAAGCAAATTCAAAGATTAGGATAATATTTGCGCTAAAAACCAACATTTAAGACTATCCTCATTTACAAAGTTATTCAACAATAAACATGGGTGAAGCTAAATTTCCTAAAACCAATCAAGATAATCAAGTTTTCCTGAATTAGCAAATCCGGGTTATGGATGTTTACTCCTAAGAATACAAATATTGCAAAGATTTCCTTCAAAACCGTTATTTCTAATAAAATAAACAATAAAATACAAATTTACAAGTCCTCTCTACATATTCCGAAACCACCATAATAACCCCCACAACACTACCAAATCACTCCCAAAAATTCACTCTCTCAAACACCCTCCTCTCTCACCCTCATCCCTCCCAAAAATCCTACCTCTTAACTCTCCCACCCCCTCTCATCTCCAAATCTCACCCAAAATCCCCCTACAGCACCCATATTCATACCTTACTTAAATATTTTATTAAACTTCTCACTTATTTCCCTAAAAATGGGGTTTTGGGGTTTTGGGGTTTTGGGGTTTTGGGG